ACTCTCAATGTCTAATCCTCTTTCTTCTCTAGCTAAGGGCATGAGTCCCCAAGCTTTCACCACAGATTCAAAACTGGGCAAAGGGTACCAGAATCCCGATTTCCTCTCAAGAGCTCTTGGAATAAAGTTAGAGGACCTTGCAAATAACTTCTCAAAATGCTATCAGTCCTGAGGACCAAGTCATCCCCACCTCCAACAAAGGGGAATGATTATGGGGCAAACCCAGCAACGCCCCTGTTTTAACTGGATGACCTCACAGGAATCATCACTGAAGGATGCTGAAACCGAAGGGGATCACGGCTGAGCAAGACTATCTCCTGAATATGCCTTGTTTCCGCTTAGATTAAGATGAATTTCCAGAATGGGTGAAGAGCATGGGTGGAGCTCAGCCTTCCAGGAACCTAGCAGCGGTTCTCACTTCCATCTCTGGCCTCAGCCTTTGGGCACCAAGGATCCTGAGCCTCAGGGCACCAGAAGTCGTTGAGGGGCTATGGATGAGGGGCAGCTGTGTGGGAAAGCTTTTATTTCCAGATATTGAGAGCCGAGTACCTGGGCACCTCGCCAGGGTATGTATTTCTTGAGTGTACGTCATTGTAATACAAGCAGAAAAAAGACTGCCTGTGTAGTCAGGGGAGCTGGGTTCAAATCCCACACCTAACACTACCTGTGTGGCCCTGTGCAAGTCATTTAAACTCCTTAAGACCTCAACTTTGTTGTCCGTAAAATGAGAAGATTGGACCAGAGGCCTCTTCTAGCAGTAGATCTGTAACCCCCGTTACCTTAAGATGAGGCTCAGGTGTAAATCTGAAGCATGATTTTGGCCCAAGCCCCAGGAATCTAATTATTCTTATTCTTTCTCCATCCTTGAGGTCTGGGCTTCTGGGCATCAGGACCAGTGGGACCCTAACTGACTCCGTGCTCAATCATCACCCTAGAAGGTTGGTAACTCCTGTGAACTGGTAATTCCCCATTAAACAATGGATAAAATCCCACATACACCCTCATTCCCATGATTTAGAGTCAATGGCAAATGAGGCAAAAGCTCTTCTTATTTCTCTTTGTACTCTCATCCCTACCCAACTCATTCCTTTCCATGCACAGTCCAGATCTTCTGCCCTGCCCTACCTCCCACTAAACCTTCTATAGTCTCTATTCCATTGTGAACAATCTACCCTTTATCCTATATCTTTTCACTTCACATTTTCCATCTTCTTGCAATAATGAAAACTCCAGAAAACAACACCTCTTTAGCAATTCTCTTAGGCGCTGTATATTGCTTCTCCCTGACACATGGAGCCAAAAGAAAAAGTAGGCACATTGTCTGCTCTTCACTCTCGCTTCTAGACTGTACTTTCACCACCATTATGCAACAACCTGTCTTGTTTTGAGGTTCATTCCATCCATCTTTTTAACTTAGTTCTAACTCTTGTCAAAATAATCCCCAGGCCTTGAAGTCATTTTCCATTCTTTTTCAAGTTCAATACCTTGGTCACAATCTTCTCACTCCAAATTGCCATTATACATGGAGGCTTTAATATACGCATTAATGTCCTCTCAAATTCCTTGGCCTCTTAGTGTATAAGCCTCCTAAACTCCCAAGGCTTCTATCTCCGTTCTACTTCAGGTACACAGAAGGATGGACAATCATTCACAACTCTTCTGCCTTCATGAGCTAGACGTCTGAAATGCCACCATCCTCTCTCCTTCAACCTTGCCCTCCATCTCATTCCTCCTAAGCTTAATCTTCATCCTTGCCTCCAATCCTTCTGCCCTTCTTTGTCCCCCTAATTTATTCCCCCTTTCTAGTCTTTCCTCTTTCCTTTCATAGTCTTGATTCTATGCCAACCAAGTCAACTGTACCTTATCAGCTATTCTTGAGTCACTCGCTCCCTTAGCCTGCCATCACTCAAACCTTGCCAAACGTCCGTACTTGGTTTAATCCGCCTTCTCAGCTCCTACTCTGGACTGGACTCACCACAATCTTGTTATCAATGTGCTGCAAGGCAATTCTTATGCTGGTTCCTGATTGGCTCTCTCTTAGACTCTATCCTTAGAAATTTTGACTTGACCCCGCCCTCCCTCGAGCAATAATCCCATAGCTCTTTTCCATTTCACAGTTAAACCCCTAGAAAGAGTTATCTACCCTCAATGCATCATTTCCTCACCTTTTACCCTCTTCCCAACCCCATTAGACTGAAACTACTTTCTACAAGGCTATCAAACTGTTCAGTCCAATAGCCTGTCCTTAGTCCTCACTGTTTGATCTCTCTGCCATCTTTGACACGCTGACCACCCTTACCCTGGAAAGTCTCTTCCCTTGGCTTCCTTTTGGGTCTTCCCCTGCCTCTTTCACCACCTCTCCTCAGCCTCATCATCCTAGTCACACCCAATAAGTATGAGAATACCCTAGTACTCAGTTCTAGCTCTTCTGTTTCTCCTTAGTCTCCCTTAGTGAGATCATCTGCTCCTATGGATTCAATGGTCATCTCTATGAAGATGACTCCCCAATCTATGTGTCTCCTAAAGTTCCACATCGCCAGCTGCCTGAAGGACATTCCATCTTTTCAGCATCTCAAATTCAACGTGTCCAAAACTGTCTCTCTGTCTTCCAAAAGCCATTTCCCTTTTTTTCTTTTGAGAGCACCACCATCCTACCACTCACACAGGTCACGACCTTGGAATTTCCCCTAACTCTTCCCTCTCTCTCTTCACCTCCTCACTCTACTGACCAAATCTTGTTAATTCTACCTCCACAGCTCTTTAAGTCATTCCTTTCTCTCCCCTCACAAAGTCTCTATTCACCCTAGGCAAGGTCTTCATTTCTCCACTCCTGGACTATTGCAATGGCCTCCTTATTGGTCTTCTTTCCCTTCTCTCCCTGTCTCTGATCCATTCCACATACACAGATGCCAAATTAGGATTCCTAAAGTATAGATTTTTCAATAGCATGGTATAATGGATAGAGAGCTGGCCTCATCGTCGGGACGACCTGACTTCAAATCTTGCTTCAGATACATACTGGTTACTTGTCACTTACTCTCACTTCCCCAGGCTCTAGGACTAAGCCTCAGAGAAGATGTCAATCTCCTTTGATGGAGAAAACTCCCTACACTAATGAAATCACAGGTCTGGTTTAAAAAAAAAGCACAGATCCAAGTATGTCCCTTTTCTACTCAAAATGTCCTATGACCTACTATTGCTCCTAGGATAAAGCAGAAATGTTAAGCCCTCTCCAATATGATTCCAATCATTTCCCCCTTTGCACTCTGTTCCATCAAACTGGCCTACAGACTTGTTCTCCATATATAACATTATATCTCCTGCCTCCACGCATTTGCAAAGGTGGTTCCCCACCCCATGCCCAATGTCCTCCCTTCTGATTTCCACCTCCTTGAATCCAAAGCTTTCTTCAAAGCATGGCGCTGGCACCACCTCCTACACAAGGCCTTCCCAGATTCCCTTAGAAGCTGTTGTTCTCTCCCTCTTGAGATGACTCTGTATAGATTGTGTACATGTATTACGTCTCCCAGGAAGAATGTAAGCTCCTATAGGACAGGGACTATTTCATTTTTGTCTCTGTACCCCAAAGACACATAACAGATGCTTAATCAATGCTTGTTTGTTTTTTTTTAATTGAAGTTGGTCTTGAAGAGATCCTCTCTGGCCCTTGGAGATATTTGAAATATTTGAAAGGCTGGAAGAAGGGAAAATCAACTTCTTCTTGGAAACTTTAAAAACCCAGGGAGGAATACAGTGTCCAGAATCAGAAAGGGCTGGAAATTTAGAGGTGATGAGAGGACAGAGGGAAGGTACATTCAGAAGAAGAAGCAGAAGTGAGTGAACCTCCTTAGGTACTAATAAAAACAGGTGAGAATCCCATGCTCTTTCTTCCCTGCTCAGGGACAGCCAATACCAACCTACCCCAGATGACCGGCCTGCTTAACTTTACTCCACCCCAGCCCCATTGGCAGTGTTGATCTGGCAGTTAAGTATAAGATGGAGAAAGTTGGGATGTAACATTTCACCCTGCCTAGAGCAGCTCTGTCTTCACCTCTTTCCAACCCTGGAGCTCCTCTCCTCTTCCCCTATTCTTTCACTCTCTTTTTCTACTCCATCTCTTCCCAAACTCCAACCCAGCAGTAATGGCTTCGGCTTTAGCTACAGAGATGGAATTAGATGCACACAAAAAAAAATTATTATAATCTTGGTCCCACAAAGAGCTGAGCTGGTAGTTTGCTTATCTGTTATGGCTTCTTGTGCATCCCCAGAGTTTTAGACCGTCTAACCCAGTCCTTTTTGAGCCACAGAAAACTGAGAGGCCAAGTGGTCAGGGGCAGGAATGTCATCTCAGAAGACTATCTCAGTCCCTTCCCTTCACTTCTTCTTTCACCCAGATGCCCTGCCATTGACATTTTGTCCCCTGGAGATGCAATACTGGGATGGGGCAAGGGACCAGGCAGGGCTCAGAGTGAATTTAGCCTAGGTTGTAGTATAAAGGCATTTCCCAACATCTTTAGTCTTTCCATTTCCCATTATTCTGACTCCCTCTGTTTCAAATACATTTTTAGGAGCTAAGCAGCAGGATTCTTTTTTGAAACGTCTGAAGGAACTATAGTAAGGAAAGGAAAGGCAATAATCAATTCCCCCTTCATCTACAGCCCAAGGAGGGAATCCCATATACTCCCTCTTAACTATCCAGAAGTCTAAAGAAAAAAAAAACTCCTCCAGCCTAGAGAACCAGTTAGCCTGCCTGACTCTTCCTGGGCACAGATGAACCAGGTAAGAGTGTGGTGGAATCCTCAGAGGACTCAGTGTCCTGACTGAATGTCTCCAGACTTCATCTTTCCTCCTGAGGGAGCTAAGGAAAGTACAAGTTGAAGCAACTCTTACATCTCTGGTTTGGGGTAGCTAGAAAATTGGCAGTGAAAATTAGGTCTCCTCTCAGGTAGTGTCTTTGATTCCCCTCCCCCAGTCCCACCCATCACCATAAGTGGGCAGAATTGAGGTCTACTATAGGTCTAAATGCTAAGGAGATTTGGAGCCCCCTCCTAGACACCTCTTCCTCATCCCACCTCATCTCTGGTCTCTAATCTGATTGATGGACTTGGACAGCAAATCTCAGACTAGTCAGAGACCCTGTGGAGAGCAACTGGAAATGGTCTGTCCAAACTGGACCTTGGAAAGACGCTACCCCCATTCTTTTCAGTCCCATATTCAGCACACATCCTTTAGCTGAGAATGTGTCTCTCTTTCCTCTTACCATTCTCCCCACACACACATACACACACACACACACACACACACACACACACTGAGTGTTCCTAAGGCATAGGTTGGGAGGAGGGAGGGGAGGTGAGCATCTTATCTGAGAAGGCAATTAGCAGACTGCTAGTAAAAGGTGTCTCTACCACTAAACAGGTTTACAACTGGGGCTTTCCTGTCGCTAGGCAACCAGTGCCAAAATAGCCACCCCCAGTCAGCATACCTAGCTGGAACTACACACTCCCTCCACCCATGCCCAGCTCAAGTGATTCCCATTTCTTCCAGTAAAATCACCCTAAAAACCCAAGGGGTTCCTGGGCTAGAATAATGAGGTGGAAGAACTCTGTAGATGATCTGGGGAGGACAACAGGGCCAAGACAGAGAATACTGAGACGAAGGCTCCTGCTTCTCTTGGGTTTTGCTCCCAGCCTCCACTATCTAGTAAATACACTAGTCTACCAGAAACCCCCAAACTATGGGAACTCATTCAGACACTCCAAAAAACTTGATGAGCTTTGAGGGGATTCTCTGTTAGGAAAAATCTCAGGAATTCTGCAGAAACCAGCAGATGAGATCATCTTCAGGTGTAGCTCCAACAATGCCAGAACAGCACCATAAACAGGGTTCTCTCTAAGATTGGTGCAGTAGTAGAGGCTCAAACCAAGTACTGGACTGGCTGAGGGGGCTTATTTCTTCGTCCTCCATCATCCTCTCCCAACACTTCTCCATCTTTAGGATCCTGGCATGAGCTCCTTACCTCTCATGCAGGAATGGTCATCCCATTTTACCTTCTTCTTGTGGAAGAAGATGGGCATTTATATGGGCAGTGGTATCTACTAGGCCCCTTTGTTTTCCTACACCCCATCTGAACTTCAATTCCCAGCTGGTTTAATGGTGGCCATCTCTGATGGAAGAGAGGTGAGTCACTCTTAGGGCAAGGGGGTAGGGAGGTCTGTGAGGAGGAGGCAGAGTTGGGGGCTGGAATCCTGGCTTAAGAGAAGCACACTGAGAGGGTAGGCAAGGAGCACACTGTATCGGGTGGGAAATGAGAGGGAGACAGGTAGGCAGGAGAGGAGGAAGGCCAAGAGACCATCCGCCCTTACTTGGTACCATCTTCTGGATTGCCCTCCCCATCTGTCTTACACTCCTCTTCGGTCTTCAGGTCATCCGCACTCAGCTTCTGCTCCTGTTTCCTCCTCACGCACTTGACCACCATCAGTGCCAGGATGACGACAGCCAAGAAACCACCCACTGAGGCACCCACGATCACAGCCACCGTTGAGTCACGTTCAGGGGGCACTGATAGGATGAAAGGAGGACAGATGACGCTTGGTGACTAGACAGGGTTGCCAACCCTGAACTGCCTTCTAACCGTTATTCTCTCCTAGGGCTTAGAGTCAGGGTCAGAGCCTAGAATGGAATCCACATGTCCTACTTTACAGCCCTGTCCATTACGATGAGAAAAAACTCACCAAGATGCTTTGCCGACTCAAGGAAGAGATTAAGCAAATAATTTCACCACCTTTTCCCACTCACCTGCCACCAACTACTCCTGGTTGGTGAATAGTTCTTCTGAGGGCTGCTTTCACTCATCTTTGGGAAGGAAGGAAGAGGAAAAGAAAGGGAAAGAAGAAGAGAGGAGGAAAAGGGAAAGAGAGAGGGAGAAAAGGAAAGGAGAGGAGGAGGGGAGGATCTCCCTCTAGCTGCCCTGACTCACTTCCCCCCTCCCCTGGCTTCCTACCCTGAGGCTTACCTTGTGTTAGAACCTGTAGGTAGATTTTGCCTAGACCACGGTTGCGGTCGGGTGGGTTCATGACATAGCAATTGTAGGTGCCCTCATCCTCCAGCTGTACATTATTCAGGGTCACAGACACATCATACTTGCTGGGGTTCCCTGTGAATTCCACCCGATCCCCAAAACGGTTTGGTTTCAGGTTAATGATTTTCATCCGGAACTGGAGAAACTGGTCATGAGGGGGAAAGAAAGGGAGCACAGAACGGGGAATTTTTAAAGCTACCACAAAAATACCAACCATATCTCTCACCTCCCTCCCAGGACCAGACTCTGATTGCCAAAAGGCCCTCCCTCCCTCCTCCTCCCCCACCACCCTAATACACTGGACAGAAATATGTCTCCCGTTACTGTCCCTCTGCCCTTCTATCCTCATAGCGTTCTTCAAGAAGCCTCTTGATCTGGGCAGAAATTGGAGCCCAGAAGGACTTTAGATTCAGCAGCAAGCATGTGAGCCTGAGGGAAGGCAGTTTACTCATTAAGCTCAGCTGCTCATGAGCCCCCATCCCATCTCCCAGCCCTGCTCACCATCTCCTCAGTGCAATTCTTGCACTCTTGGTATGTCCAATTCAGGGAGAACTGTTTATTGTTCACTGTGTAGCAGGAGTTAAAGGTGCAGGCCAGGCGCACAGTAGTGCCATTGAGGACATTGAGGGTCATGGGAACTGTGACCTCCATGCTCGGTGCTGATGGCACTGGGGACAAAATCACAAGCACATGAGGACCAGAGATGATGGAGCCGGGGTGAAGGGAAGAGCCCAGCCCCTCCACACTCGAAGTGCAAAAGAATAAGGGCAATGAAGGGGGTAATGAGGCAAGGGAAAAGCATGAACAGCTGTCATTTGGGCAGGAGAAGGCAGGTGACTGACTCTGCCACCTACAACTAAAAGATGGGGAGAGGCCCTGGAAGATGCAAAAAAGGGAAACCTAGCGTGGGTGGTTGTACAGGAATGAAGTCAGAATCAGGGGAATAAATCAAGCGAAGGAAGGGGGTTGTGCAACAGAGGAACCATGAAACCTCTCCTGGTGCCACTCTCTGGGGGCTCACTCCCTGCCATCTCCTCCTCCCATCCTCCCCAGACATTAGTGCCTCTCCCCAGTGCACTGAAGCACCTCTCTGTGGCTGGGCTCAGAGTTCTGAGCACAAAGACAGGATGGTCATGAATGCCATGGTCTTCCTCCTCCCTCTCCCTCAATCTGCAGGTCCTTTAAATTACACTTCAGGCTAACACCCTAACAACCCCTATGTCAAGGGGATCCTCTCTGGAATTTTAGTCTGGGAGGACCAAGCCACTGGACACCTTTGATCTTCCCTTCAAGCTCTTGTGAGCTATCCTGGTGATTTGTAAGACATCAAATTGGTGCAGCCTGCCCTGGAGTCAGGAGAATCTGAGTTCAAATCCAGCCTCAGACATTTAACACTTACTGGCTGTGTCACTCTGGGCAAGTCACTTAACGCCAATTGCTTAGTAACCCCAACCCAAAAAAAGACCTCAAAGACGGGGTCCCATGATTAAGCTCACTTATGCTACTAGTAGAAGCAGCACTGTGTAGCACTAGGCCTTGAGTCAGGGAAACCTGAATTCAAATTCTGCCTCTGTCACTAGCCACGTAGCCTTAATTGTTGTTGTCTAGTCATTTCAGTCATGCCCAACTCTTTGTGATCCCATTTAGGGTTTTCTTACCAAAGATAATAGAGTAGTTTGCCATTTCCTTCTCCAGCTCATTTTACAGACAAGGAAACTGAGGCAAACAAGGTTAAGTAATCTTGCCCAGGGTCACACAGCTAGTACCTGTCTTGAGGCCAGATTTGAACTCAGGAAGATGGGTTTCCTGACTCCAGTCTGGAGCTCTATCCACTGAGCCACCTAGCTGTGGGATAGTCATAGGCAAGTCACTTAATCTCAATGAGTCTCCATTTCCTCATCAGTAAAGCGGGGATAAAAATGCCAACTACTTTACATCATTGTTGCTGGAATGAAGTAATGAATGCTTGGCAAATCTTAGAGTACTAGCATCATTTCAGTCATGTTTGACCCTTCATGACCCCATTTGGGATTTTCTTGGTAAAAATATTGGAGCGGTTTGCCATTTCCTTCTCCAGTGGATCCATTTTGTCAGGCAATCAGAAGCTAAGTAGCTTGTCCAGGGTCACACAGCTTGGAAGTGTCTGAGGCTACATTTGCACTCAGATCTTCCTCACTCCAGGCCTAGTGTTCTATCCACTGAGCCACCAGCTGCCTCTTTAGAGTACTACTGAAACATCAGATATTACTGCTTATTAGCTATGTAATCTTAGGCAAGTCACTAACTCTTTCTGGGCCTCAGTAAAAGAGGAAGGCTGCTCCAGATCATTTCTAAGACTCCTTCTAACTCTAAATGTTATGATTTTAGGATTCTATAATTCCAACTCACTAGGATAGTATAGGGGAAGGATAGCAGATGTGGCAACTGGGGTAAGGGAAAGACACTGAAGATGAACCAGGCACTTCTCCCCCTTGCTCCTTTCCACCTCCTCCCTACACACACATTTTCACTCAGTATTTGCATCACCCTCTCTTCCTTCACCAAAAAACCTGGAGGAGGAGAAGCTTCACCACCCCTTTCTCTCTTGCAAGAGGCTGCTTCATTGCCTTCCTCTCTCCACCTCTCCTACTCTTGCTTCCACACCACCCTCTACCCTGTGCCTCCCCTGGCTTTAGCATTTCTCAACTTCTGGGTGTTTCCTTTTGTAATACTATATATTGAATTCTTTTCTGCTTGGCAGCAGTTTCAAGGGCAAGGAAGTCAATGGCACCTGTACCTTAAATATCAGACCTGAAAAGGAACAGAAGGTTCCTCATTAGACTCATTTTCTTTCAAGAAGATTGAGGATAATATGTATAATTAGTAGGGGAGACAATGGGATTAGCACAGAATTACTAGTTATAAACTCTATTCTCCTTGAATTCTAGCTCAAAAAATAGGGAGGGGGAAGTACATTGTTCCAGGGGTTCTCCCCACAGTATCTCCCCATCCATACAGGTCCCTTTCTCTGCCCAAAATGGCCTGTTTTCTGACTTTTTTTTTTTTTGCTGAAACCAAAAAAACAGCTGCACTGCAGCATCAAATGACAAGCTTCCCTTCCCTCTCGGGGCCTCCACCTGCTCAACACAGTGGACCTCATTACCAGGACAGCGTGCCTCTGGACAACTTAAACAATAACTTGGCTCTTCAAGGAGGGCTGTGCAGGTCAGAGTAAGGCTTTTTGTTTGTTGTTTGTTTGTAAGAGGTGAAAGGGACCTTCTGGATCAGGGACTTCAAACCTGGGCTTTCTTGGGGCAGTTTGTAGGCACCCCACTTCACCCCACCCCTCCCTGGCCTCTGTCTCTTTGTTCAGAAGAATGGTAATTAGATTAACAAATCTTTTTGAAGAAAAAAACAAAGACTTAGATTGCTGCTGTACAAGTAAGATTAATGTTAAAAATTCAAAGTAAGCATATGACTTGAGTTTAAAACTACATCTCTAGTCCCAGTCTGGAGAAGGAAATGGCAAACTACTCCAGTATCTTTGCCAAGAAAACCCCAAATAGGGGTCATGGAGAGTTAGACATGACAGAAATGACTGAACAACAACTCTAGTCCCAGTGGCTCTTTCTATAGATGAGAAAATAAAACCCAGAGAGCCTTAAAAGCAGGGGATGCCCTGATCCATCTCAGCAGGTAAGTGGTACCAGACCCTACTTCCTAAGGCAGGTGGGTGGATTTGATGACCTTCCCTGCAAGGCCAAGGAAATCATGTTAATATACATTCCACAAAATCCCAACTCCTTCCCCAGGAGACAGCAAAGTTTCATCCTGCAAAGGGGCTGCGCAGAGAACTGGGGAGGAGAGACACTCAAGTCTGGATGAGCTCAAGAGGGGGGTGGACTGTGCTCACTCCCTTTAGCCATCCCTGTCCCTGGCTTGAATTCCTTCTTTCCTGAGGGTCAAGCTTGGGGGAATGGGAATCCTGACTCTGACCCTGCCTCATTGTGTGGCTCCCGGCAGGTCGTTTCCCCCCTCTGATTCCTCCATTGTAAGATCCGAAGGGTAGATGCTGATCTCTTAAGGTCTCTGCAGGCTCAGGATCCTAGGAGCACACGGAGTGAAAGCCGTAGTTGGGTGCATTGCAGGCATTTTTCTTCCAGCGGGGTGCCTCTGCAGCAGATCCCGAGCAGGGTCTGTGAGCCCTCTACAGGGAGGAGAGCTTATTACCTTAACCCTACCAACTCAGAGAGAAAAGCATCTGAAAACTTTAAGATCATGGGATGTAATGCCTTAAGGGACTTTAAAGAACACATAGTCTGACGTCTTAATTTTACAGATGAGGAAACTGAGGCCCAGAGAGGGAAAATGCATAGGTAGTGAGGGACAGAGACACTTAAAAGAGATAAGGAAAAGGTTAAATTAAACTTGCATCTGCTGTTCCATCCATCTCCCTTCCCCCAGATTTGTCAAGTCTTTTTTGTTTCTTTTTCCTAGGGCTATTCCTTAAGCCCTTGATGTCTTTGACCAAGGTCACACAGAGGCAGAGAGGTATACTTAGGGGTGAAGTGAGAAAAAGCCTCCTAACAATTTGTGCTATCCAAAGGTGGAATGAACTTCTCCTTGAGGTAAGTGGGTTGTCTCCTCCTTGGTGGTGTTCAGTTGGACGCTAAATGGTTATGGACGTTATCGAGGACAATCCTGTCCAGCTATAGGCTGTACTGGATTCTATGATGTAAAGAGTGACAAATTGGAGAGAACTGAGGAATTCTTACTCCCCATCTAGTGGCTCACACAGCCTTCTTGAGCATCGTCTATTTGCCTAGGTTAATATGGGCATTAAGTGGAATAAGGAGAAGGGAGAAGCAGAAATCCAAGGAGCCTCCATTCTCCAGACTCCAGTAGGGTACCTCAAGCATGGGGTTTAGAGACAAGTCTCTCTCCATCACTTGCCAAGCCTACTTAAAACATAACCTCTACCCTTTCGACTTGGTAAGGCTTAGAAGAAAACTCTGCGACTCTGGGAATGCCAACACCACTAGGCTTCCTTCCTGGTCTTATCCCAGTGGAACCACAGAAAGGAAAGCTGTGGTCCAGAAATCAAGCATCTATTGCTTCTCTTGCCATACAGCCATCGTGCTGCTGAATCCTGCCAACTCCCCTCCTACTGTCTCCATAATCTTCCATCTCCATGCAGGCCCTGAATTGCTGTTGTCTCCTACTGAAGGGCTTCCCCATCCAAAATATTACTCTATGCTATCAACTCTGCCTCTACCAAAGCTGCCTTCTTCAACCCATAACCCTTGTTTAGAGACTCATAGGGGCTTCTCACAATATGCATCGAGTACAAGATCCTTCCTGCCCTTGACCCCCCAGATTGCCTGGCCCTCCCAACACAAGCTACTACAAAGCCTTTCATCAAGCCCTCCCATATTATCTCACTCCCTCATCCTTCCTCCTTTTCTATAGTCTCCTATTCTATAGTAGTTAGGTGGTAAGGTGGATAGTACACGGGATTGTAGTCAAGAAGCCCCATATTCTAATCCCACCTCAAACACTTACTAGTTTGTGACACTGGGCAAATCACTTAACCTCTATCTGCCTCCATTCCCTCATCTGTAAAATGGGGATAATAATAGCACCTACCTCCCATGGTTATTGTGAGGATCAAATGAGATAATATTTGTAAAGTGCTTTGCACACCTTAATGCACTATATAAATGCACTATTATTATTATTGCCTCCTTGATTCCTCCCAAATTTATTTTCCATCAATTCTACTCTCATCTCCCAAGTGGCACTTTATACCCAGAAAGCTTCCTTGCCCTAATCTAATCCCTAATTCATCATGCCTTCCCTCACTTAAGAAGTCCCTGAAATCCCAGTTCCTGAGTGGTTTTTCTTCCCCAGTTATGAGTCAGGCGACCTTTTCTCCCAGATCTATCCTATCTAAACATTTAAATCACCAGCTCCCCTTTACTGATAGGCTCTTTACTTGCCCACGATGTTAACATCAATATTTAATCATTCACAGAATCATGGGTTACCATGGGTTGCCATATTTGACTATTTGAGGATCAATGATTTAAAACCAGGAGCAACTTTAGAGGTTATCCAATTCAAAATCCCTCAAGTTACCGATGGAAAAACTGAGACTTGGACTTGCCCATGGTCACACAAGTAGTTCGTTCCAGGGCTGGGATTTGAACCCAAGCGCTCTGACTCTGATTCCAGTGTGGTTTCCATTACATTATACTATCAATAGTTCAGCTGTCAACATGCCATATGAGGGCATCAATCTTATCACATAAATTCCCAGCAGACAGGGATTATGCCTCTCTAGGTCCTTTTGCCCAGTGCATGGTGGTTTTTTGAGCTTGCAGTACTTCCCTCTTCAAATATTACCCCAAAGTCAGTGCATCAGGAACAATTAAATTAAGAAAGTAAAGGAGATGCAAAGAGCACCTTTAAGTTGGGCTTGTAAATTAACTTTCCAGACTGCTTAGCGGGTGGACAGGCTGACCTGTAGTAAGTCTGCAGGTAATGAGACAAGTGGGACAAATATTCTGAACCTCTCACCTCGCGCATCTCACCCTGGATAGGGGGGCAGATAGGTTATTTTATTAAGACTTGATCAGGAATTTATGAAGCCCAGCCTTTAAAATTCACAAGCCCTCACTGTCCATGTACTTCATTTGGGGGAAGGGGGGGTGGGGTATGACTCTCCTCAGCCTCCATCTTAAGTTATACTTTCTCCATTGCCCTCAAGTGTTTTTTACCTGATGTCTTTATCTAAAAAAAAAAATCAACCTGACTCCCCTCTTCCTTCCCCCATACACACTTCCAAAATAATAATGACCAATATTCTTGGTGAACCAGGGCGTAAAAGGAAGACTCAAGGCTCAGCCCTCTGCCCCCACTAGCCTCTGTACGCTCTCTCCAGGCTCCCCAATCCACCCACGAACCAAGGACCACAACTCTAAACGGAAGTCTCTGATGGAGATGGACCCCTCCAACTAGGGCATCAGATTCAATCCCAAGCCCCCATCAACTGGGAACAAGTCTGAAAATCCCAGAAAGAGAGAAGACAGATTCAATCTGTCCTCTGCCCTGACTCCCCACCTTTACCTAAACCCCATCCTTCTCAGGAAAACTTGAAAAACATTCTCCTTTGCCATTTGTGGATTACAATTTTCACAAGAGAGTATCACAGATTCCACACCCCTCCCCAAATTTCTATGTCAAAAGCAAGTAACAGCATCTCTTGCTCATGAGCAATGTCTATCCCTACCCCCACCCCTCAACTTGAACATGGGGCTACACCCTAAAAAGTCCCCCTGTCCGCGACCCCTTCCAGCTCAAGCTGCTGTTTTTGCACATCAGGAGCATGCAAATGGACAATCTAACTTACCCAGAGAGAAAAACAGACTGAGCCCAGTGAAACAGAAGGATGGGCGAGGTAGCCAGGCGTCTCTGTGCATTTTCAAGGACTGAGATGTAGTTTGGTTAGGGGCTGGGAGGGGGTGATCTGGGAACTCAGGGCTGGAAGGTGAGCAGTGGTTAGATGCTAAAAAAAAAAATGCACGGATTTATTTCAAAGACATTTATAATATTGGGGCAGCTTTATTTCCACCTCTATAATATGGCTGGCTAGTCTGTTGCTGCTTTAAAAAAAAAAAAAAAGAAAGAGGAAGATAGAAAAAGGGACATAGGAAAAATTTTATGGTTGGTGGATTTTTTTCAAAGCAGGTGGCAGGGCATAAAAAAAAAATTGTTCCAAGCAGCAGCAAGTTCAATTCAATTAAGTGTTTGCTGGGTTCAAGTTGCGGCACTAGACATTGGAGAAACAAACACAAAAATGAAACTGTCCTTGTCCTCAAGGAGCTTACATTTTACTGAGGATAACAACAGGCATACAGATTAAGTAAACACAAAGTAATTTCTGGGTATGGGGACAGAGCACTAAAAGCTGGGGTGATCAGGAGAAGGCCCCTTTTAAGAGGTGGTACTCAAGCTGGTCCTTGAATGGAACTAAAGATTCCAAGAGTCAGAGATGAGGAGGGACAGTATTCCAGGCACAGAGGACAGCCTTTCAAAGTCACAGGGGCAGGAGATAAAAAGCAGTGTATAGAGAGCAACCAAAACGCCAGCTTGGCTTCTATGGAGAAAGAGAAATTGCATTCTCAGCAATTCTCCCCCTTTAAAAACTAAAGGAGGGGCAGCCAGGTGGTACAGTGAATAAAGCGCAAGTCCTGGAGTCCGGAGGACCTGAATTCAAATTCAGCCTCAGACACTTACTAGATATGTGACCCTGGGCAAGCCACTTAACCCCAATTGCCTCAAAAAAAAAAACAAAAAAAACTAAAGTAAAAATTGCCCTTTCCCCCCTTGACTCTTCCTTATAAACTGTGTTGATACTCTCAGAAGTATGACCAGATGGTCTCCATCTCCACTGAGAAGCAGTCAAGTTGAAATGGATGTAAGTTACAGAAAGAGGGACTTGCTTGGGGTTGGAATATAATCAGCCTGATCATAAGGTTCATTAGACAGTGGAAAAGGTGATGGAAGGAAGTTGCCAAACACCCCTATGTGAACATGTTAAAATGTAAGATAACATAGAATGCACATCTATCAACTGACTTCCCCCACCCCTTTCTGGCCTGCAACACCTTCTACCAATGCAGACCACAAACTATAACCTACAGCCTTAGAGGGCTGCCTAGGACACTGACAGCTAAGTGACTCTTGCCTATGGCCAAACAGAAATAGACACAAAACACAAGTCTGTGTCAGAGACAAGACTTCAACCGAGGTCTTCCTGACTTCAAGGAAGGCTCTTGATCTCTACCCACTAAGCCATGCTGTCTCTCATCAATCAATAAGAATTTATGCAGACTCTATTATATATGTTAACAAGACACTACCAATTTGTTGCTTGGTACTAGTGGGATAACAAAAAAGTACTATACATTGCCCTCAAGAAGTTTATGGTCTAACTTGGGAAACAAGACTAAAATATGAAACAATTAAAGAACAGTAAGTGACAAGATGTAATGAGGTGCTAAATGGTTTGTTGGAGAGGTAAATGATGTAGGAATTTAGAGAAAAGAGAATTGAGGGGGAAGGGCTTGAGAAGCCCTGGGCAAGCCACATGGAGGGAAGGAGGAATGAATCAGAGCCTTCAGAATGGGCCGGTTTAGACAGACCAGGATGGACAGGGCACTCCAAGGTAGAGGAGTAGCCTGAACTTAGGTGTGGTGGTGTTGTTTTTGTTGAGTTTTGTTTGATTCTTTGTGACCCCCATTTGGGGTTTTCCTTAGTAAAGATACTGGAGTGCTTTGCCATTTCCTTCTCCAGCTCATTTTACAGAGGAGAAAAATGAGGCAAACAGTTAAGCAACTTGCCCAGGGTCACACAGCTAGTGAGTGTCTGAGGTCAAATTTGAACTCAGGGCTTCTTGACTCCAGGCATAGCGCTCTATCCACTGTACCTCCCAGCTGCCTTTCAGGTATAGCTGCCCAATTTATGTATAGCTGTGGCCAAAAGTGAAGCAACGGCCAAGATGACTTCTGAAGAGCTATTCCAACCACATGAAAAAAGGAATTCACAAGTTAACTGTCCCTAGAGTTCTCAACTCCAGCATGGACCTCTCCGTTTGATTCTTCGCTGGACACAGAGGACCGCAGACTATAGTACCAGGGGAGGACAAGGAGGGAAGAGTGGAGGGTACTGAAATCAGGTGGCACTATCCAGGTAGGATAAATTCTCATCGCCCACTTGGACACCCTTAGAGCTCTGAGAAAGGACTTTCAAGTTTTCATTCAACAGAAACCAAAGTCCTTTCAAACACAGCCTTGGCTGCTCTCGTCCTGAGCTCTCTGTGGGTAGCCATCAGCAGTACATCCTGCCAGGTGTGCTGAAATGATGGCACTGGCAGAAGCACACGAGGTGGGGGTGGGGAGTGTTATACCACTCTCATCCCTTTGGCTGCAATATAGCCATCAGGGGATGCCCTAACTTACAGTGTGACATCAATCAATGGTACCAGAATTATATACAAATCTGCCCTGGATATTATGAAATCCTGGCCAACACTGCTGATGCTGCAACCTAATTTCAGGAGGCAGGTTAATGCAATGCAATGAGCCCTGGATTTGGAGTAAAAGGACCTGAATCTTCTGCAACTAATTTCCTGTGTAAATTTGGATAAGTCACAATCTCTCTGGGCTGCAATTTCCTTTTCTGTAAAATGGGGCAGCGGTGGGGTAGGAGGGGAAACTATTATCTATGATTACAACAAGGCTAAAAGGAGCCTTGTTTCTAGTTGCTGGTTACCTAGGATTCCTACCCTAGGTTAGATTAGGACAGAATTCATTCATAAAATGAGAAGGCTTGGTGAGCTGACCTGACAACCCTTCTAAGTTTCCAGCCATAACATGCTAGGGTTCTACCCCCTTTCTCCGCTTGGTCCAGGACCTCATCTTCCTTACTGGCCTTTGGTCCCATCACTCTCTCTTCATCTGCAGCAAGCTCAAGGATGCTGCATCAGGCAAGCACATGCCCCCCCGCAAAGAGCAGGAGATATTCAGTTTGATGTTGCCGGCTTCCTCCTTTTTCCTACTACAGGTTGCCTGGGCTTTAAACTGTAGCTCAAAATCTGAGGGAACCCACTCGACTACATTCAGAAAACATTACTGTAGCACATCAAAACTGGGAAGGAATTGGGTGTGGCGATGCTCGGAATAAATTTCTTTGATTTTAAAGGAAACAAACTGGACATTTTAGGCACTGAAGCAGCCCCTCACCTGTACCATCTCCAGCTCTGTAGCTGAAAGGGACCTAAATAAGGACTCCGATGCCCCGACAGAGGAACATAGCAGGAGAGCTGCCCGTATCTTTCCCATACAGTATCTAGCATGTGATGATTTCTTCCCAAGGAATAAACTCTCTCTCGAAGTCAACAGACTATATTAGAGTGAAAAGATCTGTCTACTAGCTTCTAAATCTGACAACTACTCATTAACAATGTGACCTTGGACATGTCACTTAATTTCTCTGGGCCTTTTTCCTCATTTGTTAAAATTCAGGAGTGGATAAAATGGTCTCTAAATATCCTTTCAGCTCTAGATCTTACAATCCTATGATCTCTAAGGGTCGTTCTAACTCCAAACCCTATGTTCTTATGATTAAAGGACTTCTAAGGTTCTTTCCCACTTTGATATTCTGTGCTTATGACTTGCCAAAAGAGTTGTTAAGGATTAAGGAACAAAAATATGTGAGATGGATTATTTGAGAACTTAGTCCAACAACTTTCACACCTTCCCATGATTCCATTAGCCCAAAAGATTTTGTTATTAACCAACTTCAAATTATCAGCCTTAAAGTATAAACCAAAGTAACAGATAACACAAATGTAATTTCTATTTGAGTTTAGAACTTTTTTTCTAGTACCAGTAAATTTACCTTTTTTATTATGTTTGGCTTAGATAGATTTTAAAATTAATTTGCATTCCTTTGTCTCACAGAAACTGACATCGGAGATGATTCAGAACCTATTAGTTGATATAGAGAAAGGCAATCAGAGATTTTAGTTTTCACAAATAATCTATAAAATAGATCATCTATATGGAGTCAAATAAGAGATGAGGAGATACCGTAAAAAGAACACCATTCACTCATGAAGTCTAAAATCCTTCACAGGTCTTCAAAAACGCAAGGATTACCACTCTCATTTTACAGTTGGAGAAACAGGTGGAAAATCAATATATGTAATTAATGCATGGTTGAACTCGGAAGCCGACCATCTCCTTCAATCCCTGCTGCAATGGACTTCCCCTCTGGCCCCTAAAAATAAAAAACAAAATTATATTCCACAAGTAATTATCAAACCTTTATCATATACCCAGCATTGTACTAAATGCTATATGTGGGATTAAAGAAAGAATATAAAATATGATTCCTATCCACAAGGTACTTACAGTCTCTTACAGGCCCACAAGACTTAATTTATATGAAGCAACCAGAAAACAATGCAGGTTAGAAAAAGATCAATTGCCAAGCAGACACTGTTATCAGAAGTCATGAGAGAAAAATGTTGCTGTGGTCAGGAATAGTCAACACTCTAGCAGCTAGGTGGCACAGTAGATAGAGTAGTGGAGCTGGAATCAGGAAGACCTGAATTCAAATCTGGCCTCAGATACTTACTAGCTGTGTGACCCTGGGCAAGTCATTTAACCTATCTGACCCTCAGTTTTCTACTCCGTAAAAAGGGGGCAATAATAGCAGCTTATAAAAAATAGATACATACCGTTGATTGTAGAAATATATTTCACTCAACAGGTAAACAGAAAAGATACAGGGAAAGGGAAAGGAGGGAATTAGAGGGAGGATAGATTAAGGGAAAGATTAATCCTGAGCAAAACAAACTCTAACTAAGGATGTACAAAAATATGTGTAGCTCTTTTTGTGGTAGCAATGGATTGGAAATTGAAAATTGCCTACCAACTGATGAATGACTGAAGAAGTTA